AAAACCCTTTCGAACAAAACCTTCGGAAGAAACGAGAACGACTTTGTCGCGTCAATAATTTTTAACAAAGATTACCCTTTGTCATCACTTACAAATTTGAAAACGAAATCTGCAAGTTAAAGGTGAGTGTGGCAGTAGATGACTAAGTTAATGAACTTATCACGCATTAAAATCTTCGGTGAAATCATTGAAAATAACCTTAAAAGGTCGGTAGAGTTATATCAGATAGTGTCAACACATGATGGTTCCCATAACATTTTGAAATGTAAAGGTTACTGTACTTTTGATTTAGTATCATACTATCAGAGCATATAGTGCATTATAAAATCAATGAACTGTTGGCAAATTATATACATTGTACTATTATTTGAATTACTATTAATCAGGAATGCTACTTGTTGGTATCTGGTCTATAAACTTAATAATATGTCATTGTTCAAGTTAGTGAACATCAAGAAGTTTGCCATTTTAATTTAATGGTTCACAGAAATTGTTTTGGTCTTCGTGGTCAAAATGTCCGAGAAACTTTTTGAGTCAACTTAACACTTTTGTGAGGGGTGGACTTTCAGCAAGAATTTCAGCAACTTACAAGAAAAAACAAGAAATAAAATAAGTCTATTATAGAAATAGGAATAAGCAAGGCATAGCTAAATGTTAATATATTTTATTCATATATTATCATCATAATAATAATAATAATTCAAATATTGCACATTTAAGCATCTTATAAACACAGTATATACTTCAATATCTTAAACAGATCCCTGCTAAGACTACAGCAAGGAATAAAATGTCTCTTGTTGTAATAGTTAGCATAATTGTTTTTGTTAACTCTGAATTAGAATAATTTTAAGAAACTGCATTGAATACAGCCTTTCTACATTATATTCTGTGTGGGAAAAAAACAACAAAAAACCTGTATATTTATGAATAAATCATTTAGGCTGAAATATAATAATTACTTGACTATCTCTTAATCAAAATAATAAATGTTTTTTGTAAAATGATGTTCTTTAAGTGAACCATACATTTAATTTCATCATATAATTCATAAAACAGTACCAATGCTAATTGCTGGAAGCTATTTAATGGTTTATTCATTCATGGCTATTGAATTGTTATTCAGAAATGACTTTTCCTAGCTAGAAACACATCACACTAAATAAAATATTGTAAATTCCAAAGAAGGCGCAAACTGACATAAATTATAAAGATTTGCCATTACAAAAAATAACTAATTATAATAATGGCACTGATAAATACTTAGTTACAGAAGCAATTCTAACACAGATCTGTGCTTAATGCATTGTATAACTATGATGAAAAAAGACAATTTTAGCCTCTGAGGTTATAATTATGGCCTTATATAAATGGTTGCTTGTAAATATATAAGACCATATAACCCGTCAGGAATATTAATTTTATAAAACAATTCATGATACTGCAAACTTCCTTTTCTAGAGAAAAAAGGTGATTTACAGCAGCATGTATATAAACATCACGACTATCTCCTAAAAAGTGATCTTACAAACATGCAGTATTGTAACAAATTATATATCTATTGTCAGTGACTAATCTATGCCACCAGCATATAACCAGACCAGGCTGTACATTTGAGCAGTCTAATAAGGCTCTATAATGCTGCAAACTCAATTTGTGTAATTTGGTTTGAAATCCCTTAAAAATTAAAAAGACCCTTTAAAACTCCATTTCACAAATTTCCCTTTTTGTGTGAACTAAAACAGTATAGGTCATGTGGCGACTTTCCAGCTTTACTAGTTGAGGAAGAACTCGGGTGCCCTTCCTTATATTATTTCAGTCATGAATGGGCACCTTAGAAAAACCAACGATGTTCCATAAGCTAGCTGGATAGCTTCCTCACATGAAAGAATCCAAAGTCCCTGTTTGAATTCACACAGCAGTGAGGGGCAAGTGGTTTGAAGTCAACGACCGTAAACACTGCCATGAACATACCTAAACAAATTCTGCAGGTGAAGTGTAAGCTTGTGATATAAATGTTATAAAAAAGATTCTTTTTCATAATTTACACAGTAGATTTCCTCTAAATATTTTACGAGTATTTTTAGAGTAACAGTATGACCACCATCATGACTAATGTGACTGGCCAATGTTGGAGAAGAACTGTAACACATCATCTATACTGAACTCTAGTGTTATATTAGAGTCTGGGTAACATTTGTTGATCAGTTCTACATATGTGTTGTACTGCTTGATAAACTCATTCTGCATAGCAACCCATACAACCTGAAATATACAACCAATATGTTATACATGTAACTATATCAACCAATTAGTTATACATGTAACTATATCAACCAACAAGAGCTGTCGGTAGGACAGCACGCTCGACTATTCTAAGTGCTTGATAGTAAAAGAGCCTTGATAATGTTAAATTTTTTAAGTTCACAAAAGGGCTAATTTTTTTTTACAAATTCATGTTATTGGCCTTACAGAGAGTCTAATTATACAGTATTGGCTTGACTATTCTAAGGGTAATGTCACAAGGGTGTTTTATTGATTATAATAATACTAATTACCTATGAATACATAAATTTGACAGAAAAGGTACAAAGGCTTGTTATTAAGATGTTTTATGAAGTAAATCACTGCTTTATTATTATGAATGCATAAATTGTCCCAAAAAAGGCACAAACCCTTCAGTAGTTATTGAGATAACAGCTTACAAGCCAAACTTTACCATGAATTTCTAAGTTGAAAAAGGGGGGAAAAATCAGCCTAAATGCAAGAAAGAATTATGGATCTTTGTCAGTGACCTACAATTATGACCCTAAATGCATATGTGAAGTAGAATAGGGGATATGAATCAGCCTTAATGCAAGGTAGAGTTATGGAACTTGGTCAGTGACATACAATTATGACCCTCCAATTATGACCCTTAGTGCATGTGTAAAGTTTCAAGTAAATATCTTTGAAGACCTTTGACCTTTAACCAAAATTTCTAAGTTTCAAAGGGGCAAATAATTCTGCAAATATTGCACGCAGAGTTATGCAATTTTGCAAAACTGATGTACATTGTTACTATAAAAAAGTATTTTTTAAATTTCAATTGAATATCTAAAGCAATAATTGAGATATTTGACTTTACATAAAAACTTTAACCAAAAATTTCTAAGTTCCAAAGGGGCATAATTCTGTCAATATTGTAGGCAGAGTTATCCAACTTGTCAATCTGATGTACCTTGTTACTATAAATAAGTATGTAAGTTTCCATTGAATATCTCAAGCAATAATTGAGATATTTGACTTTACAAAAAACTTTAACCAAAATTTCTAAGTTAAAAAGGGGCATAATTCTGTCAATATTGTAGGCAGAGTTATCCAACTTGTCAATCTGTTGTACCTTGTTACTATAAATAAGTATTGTAAGTTTCAATTGAATATCTCAAGTAATAATTGAGATATTTGACTTTACAAAAAACTTTAACCAAAATTTCTAAGTTAAAAAGGGGCATAATTCTGTCAATATTGTGGCAGAGTTATCCAACTTGTCAATCTGATGTACCTTGTTACTATAAATAAGTATTGTAAGTTTCAATTGAAATATCTCAAGTAATAATTGAGATATTTGACTTTACAAAAAACTTTAACCAACGCAAGACGCCGACGCGGACGCTGACGCCGACGCCGGGGCGACTACAATAGCTCTCATATTCTTCGAATAGTCGAGCTAATTAGTTATACATTTAACTATATCAACCAATTAGTTATACATGTAACTATATATACATTAATTATAACAACAAATATTTCTGTGTGTAACTACCATGAAAAAGTTATAATACATGTAACCATAGCAACAAATAGATATACATAAAACTAGACAAACATATATACCAACAAATAGTTTTACATGAAACCATACCAACAGTTGGTCACTTGGTCATATTTAAGGTCACTCAAGGTCAAACTTTAATAACATGTTATACTGCACTAAAGGTCCAAAATTTGATTAGGAAGCATATCAAACATTAAGCCTGTAAGTCTTATGCTTTCTTATAACACAATTTTAAAAGCTTTTACTATACAAGTTTACATGTATATATAAAACTGGTTAGTACTGTAATAGGCCTTTGTCCACCCCAGGGACATTATTTCAATTAAATCTGTTGAGGACTTCTTAATGAAAGCATCAGGTCATTTTAAAATAAGAACCAAGATCTACTGGTTATAAGTGTTCTGTGCAAATTTGGTTCAAATCAAATCATAAATAGCACCGCTATCATGAAAATTTTGAAAAATATGCCTAGTTCATTTAATTGTAAGCAGTAAACATACTGAAAATAAAATCTTTTTATTTTCTTCAAAATATGCCTCTCACCTGATAAAGATTTTCATCTTCACTTAAATGTTTCTCCACCTTCTTATACAAATGATCTAATGATTTCTTCACCTGTAAATAAAAAAGAATGGTATATTATGAAACAATGGACATTTCACAATAAACAACTTTCACTAATTTTTGAAAACCACTGAAATAATCTTTGAAAATAACAAATATACAACTCTTTTGTTTTATGATAATCAATGAATTATCCAGTTTAAGAAGAAAAATAGTACCTCTGCAACATTAGCTATAAACAAGTTAACATTTCATCGTAGAAGTTTTTATTGTAAATTACATAAAATAGCATACAATAAAAAGAAAACATGTCTATTTTAATGTACATGTATAATGAATATGTTTGGTATTTTCAATACTTTTTTTTTTGATTCACTATCACTAAGTAAAACTATTTTGAAATTACTCGCAACTATATGGTAAACGACTTTATCACATACCAATGCCTCTTTTATTACTGCTTAAAAATAGTAATGCAAGGCTGTGCATATATTTTGATGTGAAATCATTTGCGTTATACAGTGTTATAAAGATGTGCTAATAATTAGCATTTTACTAAGCCATGGCAATAAAATTGTTCTTTTTCACTTTGAATGTCTTTTTATTCTGTATTGATATAAAAAGAATATTTGTGTAAGTTTATTACTAAATTTATTGAGGCTTTGTTGAACAAAATATGCATGGCTCGGCAGTGGCTTGCCATAATATACTTGTATTTATCTCATTCAATAAATTCAGTATTAAACTTTCACTAATTCAACATTTCTCTATAAATGTCATGTACTAATTTAAAATGTACATAATGTACATACCTCTTTGCCTGTGTACTCTTTAATGACTTTTCTCAACTCTTGTTTACTAAAAGCTAACTGAAATCCAATCTCTTCTGCTTTTACTCCTTGGTTCATCTTGGCTTTTATTCCCTCAACAAATGTCTACAATACATAACCATATAAGGACAAGACTTATTATGCTCATTTTCAAAATTTTAATGAAAATAATAATCTAAGTATAAAATATTTAATTTTCCTTCTCTCTTTAAGATGTTTATGCTGATAAAATATTCTGTCACCACACATACAAGTAGTTTCAATCCAAATAATACTTCAAGTACTTTGATTTGAAAATCACTATTTTTATTTTTTGACATTGTAGAATTGTAAGTGCGTGTTATTGAGATTTCTATATTTACTCTTGAAAATTCAACTGTATAAAGCACACAATGGCACACCCTGATCACCAAGAAACAATCCTATAAAAGTTGTTAAAACAATAGGGGTCTACTACTATGCACATTAAAAGTAATTAAGAAAGCAGTCCTAGATTTATGGTCCTGAAACAGTGTAGCAGACAAGACAAAACTACAACACCATCAATTATATGAACATAACATGAATCACATATTTTAGTTAGCTGCACTGTGTATGCTTTTGTAGAATTTTTTAGAAAAATGATAACAATCATAACATCCCATGTCATCAGTTTTCATTAGGATCTTTCCCTGCGGTCTGGAGACCGCAGGGTATTGGTACGCGTTTAACTTTTGAGGCATGGAGGAGCACGTAGAACCTGTTTTCGTACAATGGAGGAGCATTGAATCTGTAAACCGTATTATGATTCTGTTAATTTGACCTTTTCGAAAACCCAGCTAAATACGTTTGCCGTACTTACGATTACCTGTAGGAATTATGTCCGAATTATTCCTAATTGAGTAACAGAAAAATCTATTACGTGATATTTCCTTAATTTTCTGCCATAATTTAAATAGATTATTTTCTGCCATAAAACTTGTGTGTTTACTTTATTTATTTTTGCTCCGGAATTAATTTCATAAAATGGTAGGCCTATTTAATTCATTTTCTTAAAAAAGAAAATAATTAATATTGTTTTATGTTTTCGAGCCTTCTCTGTCTTACAACAGTCACATGCAGTTTTTCCAAAGACCTTCTTCTATATTGTTCGATTATTGTCAACTATATTCCTGATACAAACGTTTATTTATCACCAATAATGTTGAAAATAGTTAAATGAAATATCTTTATATCATTAAAATGTTCACCGCAGGAAACCATTTTACTTGTTATTATGTTGAATAAGAAATGGTACCAAACTTAAGACAATGAATGTGGTACCGTTATCAAAAAAACATACATGTAATTTTTCCAGTGGTCTGCCCAGCCTGTCTTTTGTATAAGCATTCAGATTTTCCTGGTACTGTTGTTTCGCTTCTTTTCTATCTGCTTCCAAACATGGAATCTTCAACCCCGACAGTATTGCTGAAATTTTACAAAACTTTCATCTCAATTTAACAGATGTATATGGTTCAAGAAAGATAACTGTAGTTCCTAACATGATGAATTGCTTCCCTTGTTTCTCTTCTCTATAACATGTATTTCATAAGGTCAATAGTATTTTTATAATCTTAAACACGAAAACTTAAGTCAATGTTTTTTGAATCTTTAAATGAAAACTTAAGTTAATGTTTGTTTTTGTATCTTATAAGGAAAACTTAAGTCAATGTTTTTGTACTTCATACACCAAATCTATTTTACTATCCAGATACACTGTATTTGTATATACTTACAATTCATATGATGGAAGTTTTCTGAAAAGAGAAAACAAGAAATCCTCATGCAATACTATTTGAAATTTTCTATAATAAAAAATCATAGTACTATTATCTCAATTAAAAGAGGCCATTTCCACTTTGAAATCCATTATTATCAAAAGATTATTATCATTTCAAAATATTTTGTTTGCATATTAATGCTTCTTCAAATAAGTATCTTACAATATTTAAATATACTCATATAGTCCAGGAATTATTTGTATTTTCATTCTGCAAATTGTTAAATTTAACTTGTATTAGCACCTTACATTCTATCTAAAACTACTATCCTCCCTTCAAAAGTCATTCATTTTGACCTTGTAGAATTACAATTACTGGCCAGCCAGCTATCACTTAACATCATATTTTTTTTCCAGCACTAAATTTAACAAGTATTTTTGAGTTAGTCACATCAACAGTGTATATTAATATACCATCCTTCAAGTTAACATGACTAAGAACTCCCATAAACCCCCTTTGTATATCATTTTAAACTCATACCAGAAAAAACCCAAAACATTTTGTTGACCACATGTTTATTATTATACGATACTCACCCATCATTATAACCTCTCTAGGAGTTTTCGGATGGTCCCCAGATATTCTACAGATATTATCAAAGATTGCTTTCACCAGCCTCTGATAGGCTTTATCTAGGTCAGCATGTCTCTCGGAACCTCGGAATATACTCTCTGCCTGGTTCGCAAAATCCTGCAGAAAAAAGTACAAAATACTCTGTTTATAGCGTCACTAATTTTATAACCTTTCACATAAAATAAGATATTTTTCTCGCATAAATGTATAAGTTATAAGCATTGCCCAGTACTACCAATAAAATTGACATACTAAGTGTTGATGTGTTGACAATTTTACATAAAAAAATGAATAAAAAGAATACTTTTATTACTTAAAACAAAACACTTTCTTTTGCTAAAAAACAACACCCCTAATACTAGGTAACTTCTGTTCAGATAACTCCATGAAACTTAACTACTATTAGTATTTATTAACACAAAACAATCTTTCAAATAAAACTCTCATCAGAATACAGTAATAAAAACTTCATACTGTAAAAATGACATAATTTCTTGTTTTTAAAAACTGAATTTGAACAATTTGTTTTTGAATGAAAGACAGTCATTTACATAACATTCTAGTGCTGAGGAATCTCTTTGTAGTTTTTTTTTTAATCAAACACTTTTTTCATCAAATTTAAGAATGAAAACTGTTGAAAGTATGTAAGGAGGAACTACACTTCAAACATCAGGTCAGTTGAACTAATTTTATTAAGGATTATACTGGTTTCAGCACCAATTAATCTTCATCCAGAATTTAAGATATAATTCACAAAAAAAATGTCGACATAAACCAGTAGTGAAGATTTGAAAGCCTTAAATACATGGTCTTGTACCAGATTATCATAACGTATTTAATCTTAGAACCCCAACTTGTAGAACACAAGACTCGGTACTGAAAATTTCTGCATAGTTTGGATGAAATTGCACCAGTAGTTTCTGAGGAGTAGTCCAGACAAGTTTTATGACGGACTGACGGACAGATAGACAGACGATGGAAAAGTGATCCCTATATATCGCCAATATTCTGTAGAGGCGACACAAAAACAATCTGTCTCATCAACATTTAAATTGTATTTAGCAAAATTCAGTACAATCAATTCTACAAAATGACTTCCAAAATAACACTAACCTCAAAGTTGTTCACAAAGCTGATCACTCCACATTTAGCTTTCTTTGAAACTTTGTTCTCTTCTATAGCTTTTATCTGTAATAGCTGCAAAAACATACATAGGTTCATTAAATACCAAAAATAAATATAATATATTAAACAATAATTATTAAGATCCTTACATTGGCTACCCAAACAGACTGAAAAATTCAGCTTTATTATTTACCATGTACTCGGCTCGGAATTATCAATAAACAGTTATCCATCCTGTGTATCAGTAGTTAGTATTTGTTTTTTGCTTACATATAACATATTCATTGAATTTTGAAAGAATGAAAAAAGTAATATTTTTATCTAGTATGATTTTCTATAATATAGTAGTGTGAAATAGTTTATGGATTAAAAACATTATTTATAACAGCTATATGATGTCATTTTAAGTAAAAGACTCGTTCATTCATGACAGCAAACAAGAATACATCATTTAATGCATGCAACCCTTCTAACATTACTAGAACATTTCCCAGCAATAGTGCTAGCACTAGGAATTCCAGTCTAATATGGAAGAAACTTTTAATATTTTATATAGATTAACTTGGCAACTTAAGAATCATGGTTATATACCTATTTTTTACCATTGACTTGGCATCTCTATATGTTTGTGTTTATTTACTATTCAGACACATTGAACTTACATCTACTGGTAATATTTTGATTCTAAGAAATTAAATTTGTGATTGTTTTTTTTTAATCAGTTGAAACATATTACAGAAAAACTAATGTATAATTTATAAATTTATGCAATTAAATTGCTATATTAACCAAATTTTGATACTGTTGTCAAATTTTAAACAAAAGTGAATGGCCTTTTCACATTAATTCACTGTGACAATTGCTCAATGAAGACAGCTTCATTGAGTTTCAATGTGTAAGAATGTGTTAAAATACTTACTACAAATTTATCAAAGTTGCGTTTAACTTTGACAAGAGAACTAGCAAATGTTACACTGAGGAAAGAACCAGCATCTTGTGTGTTAGTTACATGCTGACTCATCCGTACCAACATGTACATCGAGTTACTGAAATTATGTAAAATATATATATCTAATCATTAAGTATATTTCAACAACATAGTTAAACAAGATATGTTTGTAAAACATGTATGCCCCCTTTGGGCAGCCAATTATTCATGTGATCAGGTTATTATGCATGACTTCTGACCCAGTGAACAAAAAATTAATAAGGGTTTTCTACTGGTCATATAAAGTTTGAAGTTCCTAGGCCTAAGTGTTCTTTAGTTATTAATTGGAAACAGTTTTAACTTACAAGGTCACTGTGACCTTGACCTTTGACCCCAAAATCAATAGGGGTCATCAATTGGAAATGACCAATCAACATATAAAGTTTGAAGTTCCTAGACCTAAGCGTTCTTAAGTTATTGATCGGAAACCGTTTTTACTTACAAGATCAATGTGACCTTGACCTTTGACCCCAAAATCAATAGGGGTCATCTACTGGTCATGACCAATCATCATACCAAGTTTGAAGTTCCTAGGCCTTAGGGTCCTTAAGGTATAGAGTGGAAACCGTATTTTACCTACAAGGTCAACCCCAAAATCAATAGGGTTCATCTGCTGGTCATGACCAATCACCAAACCAAGTTTGAAGTTCCTAGGCCTACCATTTTTTAGTTATTGATTGGAAACCATTTTTACCTATCAGGTCAAAGTGACCTTGACCTTTGACCCCTTGACCCCAAAATCAATAGGGGTCATCTATTGGTCATGACCAATCACCATAACAAGTTTTAAGTTCCTAGGCCTAAGCATTCTTTAGTTATTGATTGAAAACCGTTTTTCCCTACAAGGTCAATATTACCTAGACCTTTGACCCCAAAATCTATAGGGGTCATCTACTGGTTATGACCAATCACCATACCAAGATTGAAGTGCCTAGGCCTAAGCGTTCTTTAGTTATTGATCGGAAACCGTTTTTATCTACAAGGTCAATGTGACCTTGACCTTTGACCCCTTGACCCCAAAATCATTAGGGGTCATTTACTGGTCATGACCAATCACCATACCAAGTTTGAAGTTCCTAGGCCTAAGCGTTCTTCAGTTATTGATCAGAAACCGTTTTTATCTACAAGGTCAATGTGACCTTAGACCCCTTGACCCCTAAACCAATAGGGGTCATCTACTGGTTATGACCAATCACCATACCAAGATTGAAGTGCCTAGGCCTAAGCGTTCTTCAGTTATTGATCGGAAACGGTTTTTACTTACAAGGTCAATGTGACCTTGACCTTTGACCCCTTGACCCCAAAATCAATAGGGGTCATCTACTGGTCATGACCAATCACCATACCAAGTTTGAAGTTCCTAGGCCTAAGGGTTCTTTAGTTATCACTCGGAAACCATTTTGTCTACGGACCGACGGACCGACAAATGCAAAGCAATATACCCCCTCTTCTTTGAAATGGGGGCATAAAAATTGAAATCTCTTAGAATCGAACAGCTGGTGAATATGACACAATATAAAACATTGCAGGCTAGATGTTTGATAAAGCTCTTCTACAGCACAACACATTTGTAACTTGTAACAGTAACTTAAAAATATATAACTAAAATGTTTAACACAGCGTCATATGTTTACATATCAAAAACTAGACACAGACACCACAATGTTCCACTGTTTTGTATGTCTACGGGTAGACAGCAGGACAGACTGATAAGGTGAAATCTTTATCGCCACCTCCACCAGCATCATGGACATAAAAGAGGCAGTTATGCTACTATTTCTAAAGACTTTATACAGCAATATCAATTATGTATCAAATACATATAGGATAGTGATATCAGCAAGTTAAAGTAAAGTTCAAGTTTACTTTGACACTTGTGTGTTGATGTAAATAAGAATACATGACCGCTTGACACAAGTGCTGTCTTAGCACTAATTTTCACAAGCTCGTTAAACAAGATCTTAAACTGAAGTCAGTTTGTTTAACTTTAATTTTACTTACAAGCCGTCCATCTTATCAGCAAATGTTATAAAGTTGCCAAGATCCTCCTCTAGTGAAGGGAACAGCGCAAGCATCATTGTCCTGTAATATAATATGAGCGGTGTCACGACAAAACCAACATAGTGCATTTGCGACCAGCATGGATCCAGACCAGCCTGCGCATCCGTGCAGTCTGATCAGGATCCATGCTGTTCGCTATCAGTTTCCCTACTTGTAATAGGGTTTGTAAGTGAACAGCCTTGTCCAGCTTCCATTTTTGGAACTGTCCATAGTCAATTTTAGGGCTATACATATGAAATTAACTTATCAGAAATCAGTATAGAGCCTGATCACACAGCACAGTTGTGTAGCTTGGCCCGACTGTATAGTGGTGGCAAAGACTAATCACTTTTGACTTCAGCATGGTAAAAAGCATGTATAACAACAATATATATTTACTTTGAAACTTAATATCTTTGACTTTGACCTTGTTATCTCATTTTCTAAATAGGATAAGCAGGTATGCAGGATTTATGGAACAGTATAAAAATATTGACAAAACATTAGTTTTGTTTTTATTCTTGTCCAATCACAACCCCTCAAAATACTTTAGACAACATTTTTACTCATTAAAACAATTTTTAAGTTTTCATAAAAATGAACATAAATCTGGAGGTGGGTTGCTTTTAGGTGACTTTTATAAAATTACATTATATTTTAATAATTATATACTCTGGTAAGTACATGGAAAGATTAAGATGTCACATACCTTAGCTCTTCATTGATCTGTCTCCTGTAACAAGAAATAAAATAAAATATTATACACAACATTCAACTAATTATCTTAAAGCTATGTACCCAAATAACAGTCATTTAGAAAAGAAATCTCCTCACATAAAAAATAGCTATTTTAATGTAAGCAACAAAATAACGGCTACATGTATGTATCCAATTTACATCCCATTACATAAGAAATCTCCACAAATAAATCAATGTTTTATTAAAGTATTTACCATTTCCACATCACCCACAATATGAATACATTTAACAATAACAGCTATAAACCAAAATATATACACAAAATGTTTGCTTAAAATTATCAGTTGCAACATAATTAAACTTCAACCTTATTACACTCACTATGTGATGCTTAAATTGTATTGCTAGAGAATTATATTATCAGGGTTGTCATTAAAAAAATTCTGACACAGTCTGTTTTGAATTTTAGGCGACCATTTTTTGGTTTTATCACATACAACAAAGTGGGTTTTTTTAAAAAAAAAAGTTTTGAGGTGGCCCAAAATGCCTTTGTGACAGGAGGTCTATATTAAATAAATAATGAATTGAGTTTACTACAGTTTAAAGAAAGAGCCTTTATTCTTCACAAAATCAAATGATACTGTAAATAAGATCAGCACAATTTGAGCTGACCTTTTTCACGTTTTTAGTATAATAAAGTAAGAATGAAAGTGTTAAATACAAAATGTTGGCACTGTACATTTTACAGAAGTACAGCGCATTCGAGGAAATGATTTTAAATAATAAGTTCTACATGACAGGAAAATGAAATGTACATAAAGTACCCACAACAATAAGGATACAACATCTGATGGGAGAACATATAATCAGGAATGATAAAACAAGTCTAAACAATAACTATGGTTTAACACAGGAAAAATTGTGCAAAGCAGAAATTTTTTAAGTTACCAAAAAAAACAACATATGCACAGCCACTTAATGACTTAAGGAAACATACAATATATTATTTCTAGTTATATCATTCAATACAATATTGTACTTCTAAATTTGACTATACTTGTATCACAGTATGTAAATATTGGATTATTATAGGAAAAAAAAGAAGTCAACGAGAACGCATACACTTAATTGCAAATAAGAAATCTACGAAAGAATACACATTTTTCATTTAAATCTAAGTTAATCTTAGTAAGTCTAAGTACATTTTGTAATATTAATCATAATAAATCACTACAATAATTTAGGATCAAAATCTAGTTCTACAACAAACTGTTAATAAAAAATAAAAAAAAACTTTTTAGCCACTGCAATAAACAAGAGGGCCATGATGGCCCTGAGGTCGCTCACCTGTATATAGGCCCCCCCCCCACCCCCGGGCCAATTTTTACCCAAGGGCTTTTATTTGTTTATTTGAACAGACTTGGTAGACACCCATAAGAAGATGTTTCATGCTAAACATATAAGTTCTAGCTCATTGGCTTTTTTAAAAGAAGATTTTTAAAGTTTTTACTATACACATATAGTTAAAAACAATGACACCCCTGGGGCAGGGCCAGTTTTGACCCCCGGGCGTTTATTTTAACAAACTTTGTAGATATTTACTTAAAGATGTTTCATGCTTAATATCTAAACTCTAGCTATTTGGGTTTTTTCAAAGAAGATTTTTAAGTTTTTGCTATACACATATAAGGAAAATCAATGACCCCCCCCCCCGGGCGGGGCCAGTTTTGACCCCAGGGCTTTTATTTGAACATACTTGGTAGACACCCATTAGAACATGTTTCATGCTAAATATCTTAGCTCTAGCTCTTTGAGTTCTTTAAAAGAAGATTTTTTAAGTTTTTACTATATGCATATAGGGAAAATCAATGACCCCCTGGGGCGGGGCCAATTTTGACCCAGGCTTTTTATTTGAACAAACTTGGTAGACACTCATTAGAAGATGTTTCATGCTAAATATCTTAGCTCTAGCTCTTTGGGTTCTTTAAAAGAAGATTTTTTAAGTTTTTACTATATGCATATAGGAAAATCTATGACCCCCTGGGGCGGGGTCAATTTTGACCCCAGGGCTTTTATTTGAACAAACTTGGTAGACATTCACTAGAAGATGTTTCATGCCAAATATCTAAGCTCTAGCTCTTATGGTTCTTTAAAAGAAGATTTTTTAAGTTTTACTATACGCATATAGGGAAAATCAATGACCCCCGGGGCGGGACCAATTATGACCCCAGGGCTTTAATTTGAACAAACTTGGTAGACACTCACTAGAAGATGTTTCATGCTTAATATCTTAGCTCTAGCTCTTTGGGCTCTTTAAAAGAAGATTTTTAAGTTTTCACTATATGCATATAGGGAAAATCAATGACCCCCTGGGGCGGGGCCAATTTTGACCCCAGGGCTTTTATTTGAACAAACTTGGTAGACACCCATAAGAACATGTTTCATGCTAAATATCTTAGCTCTAGCTCTTTGGGTTCTTTAAAAGAAGATTTTTTAAGTTTTTACTATATGCATATAGGGAAAATCAATGACCCCCCGGGGCGGGGCCAATTTTGACCCCAGGGCTTTTATTTGAACAAACTTGGTAGACACCCATTAGAAAATGTTTCATGCTAAATATCTTAGCTCTAGCTCTTTGGGTTCTTTAAAAGAAGATTTTTTAAGTTTTTACTATATGCATATAGGGAAAATCAATGACCCCCCCGGGCGGGGCCAATTTTGACCCCAGGGCTTTTATTTGAACAAACTTGGTAGACACTCACTAGAAGATGTTTCATGCCAAATATCTAAGCTCTAGCTCTTATGGTTTTTTAAAAGAAGATATTTAAAGTTTTTTCTTTTGGTTGCCATGGCAACCAGAGTTCTGCATGGAATTAAATTCTTTGAACAATTTTTAAAGGTGACCCCCAAAGGAACATTCCTGTGAAGTTTGGATGAAATTGGCTCAGTGGTTTATGAGGAGATGTCATTTAAAGCAAAAGTTTACGGACGGACGACGGACGGACGACGGACGGACGGACGGACGCCGGACGAAAAGCGATCACAAAAGCTCACCCTGTCACTTTGTGACAGGTGAGCTAAAAAAGCATCATACTTTTCTAAATGTGACAATATGTAAAAATAATAAACAACAAGAAAACAACAACAAAAGATTTCAACAAGTCTTGAATAGAATAGGAACCAGTTTCAAAATGAATCTTTACCATTGGCCAATTACAAGCCTGCAAAGGTTACCAACCAATCAAATTCTAGAATTTATTAATAATGTCCACCCTAATTTTATAATCGAAGGCCCTATATACAAGTTAAATAATTTTCTGTATAATAAAGAATATTTTTCTCTACATGTAGAAGGAAAAATATATCTTGAATATAGTTGTCAGATATATTCTCATACAATAAAGTTACAAATGCATTTAAACAGTCATTTTACAAAATCTAAAACTTACATGACTGAAAGAAAACTATAATATCAGTAAAATTCAGCCTGAAATAAATGTCTGTCTATTTTATGCATGCCAGGTTTTTAAGCAAAGGGAGGTCACTGTGTCACATTTACAACAGTTTTAGCGTGCAGCTGCGAGGTCACACAGACTTACAGTTGTGATGTTGGTATCCTCGATGTTAAACCCTCACCCAAGTTCTCCACAATATATTCCCTAAATATAATGTCAAAATATGATGATACAATATTACACAATATCTTTAATAATAACCCTATCACTAGCAAACAATGAAGATTTTGACGGTGATTTCTCAATACAAGTTTATGTACCCCAAAATTGGTCCGAAAACAAAAACTGTCAGATGGTCTGCATACTCAGCTATTCTCAGTCATAAAAAAGCTTACAACACTAACCATAGTAGGGTACAGTCCCACCACTAACACTAGGATGGGGACAGTCCCATCACTACAAACTATGCTGATGATAGTCCCCCACCACTACAGATCCCTAAAGTAACACTAGGCTAAGGACAGGCCCATTGCTTACACTAACCTATGGAAAATAGAACAACTAGCTTATGGGAAATCCCACCACTAACACTAAACTGAGGATACACCTTCTATTTACACAAGGCTGTGGACTGTCCCATCACTAATACAAGGCTGAGGAACGTCCCACCACTAACACTAAACTGAGGAATGTCCCACCACTAACACTAAACTGAGGAATGTCCCACCACTAACACTAAACTGAGGAATGTCCCACCACTAACACTAGACTAAGGAATGTCCCACCACTAACACTAAACTGAGGAATGTCCCACCACTAACACTAAACTGAGGAATGTCCCACCACTAACACTAAACTGAGGAACGTCCCACCACTAACACTAGCATGAGGAATGTCCCACCACTAACACTAGACTGAGGAATGTCCCACCACTAACACTAGACTGAAGAATGTCCCACCACTTACACTAGACTGAGGAATGTCCCACCACTATCACTAAACTGAGGATACTCCTTCTAATAACACAAGGCTGGGGACTGTCCCACCACTAACACAAAGCTGAGGATAGTCATCCAATAACACTAGGCCAACCAGGATAGTCCTACCATTTGTAAATAGCCAATATCTTCCCAACACTGCTAAAAAAGTCCAAAACTAAACATGATTTCATTTTAAATTTTTAAAGTTTTTTTTTTTTTAAAGTTTGAAGGTTGTTGAAATTAAATGGTTACTCAAATAGAAGGGATACTTCTACTGCTGATGTATTTACTATCATGACTTTCTATCAGAAGTTCTAAAATAAGACAACAAAATTACAATGAATAATCAATCAGAATATTATATACTCAAATGGTATTGATCAGCATATAGCATACCAAGAATACTTTTAAGTCTTCATATAATATAAAACAATGACTTTCAAACCCTTTACATTCAAATTTAATTTCATTATTTTATATTAGAGATAATTGTTACAATTACTAGAAAATATTACTGTGTTGCAATCATAAATAAGTTTGATGTTATATTATGACACTATCACATATTCTTATTAACAAAACTGCTGAAAAGAACTTTTTTTTAGCAGTAATAAAAAAACCCCAAAAAACATTCTGTATTTTCTAGCATACAGACAGTTGTTCTGTACTGGTGAAGTTAATATTATATAAATTATCCAGAATGACAATATCAAGTAAGTGCTAGCTTTCTAACTAATATTCAACCTAAATATCAAACACAAAAAAAAACTGACCACTTTTGTGCAACTATCTGTAAACATTTTAAGTAAGTGTCATAAGATAAAATACCACAACAATGAGATCAGTTTTGCAAACATCCTAAACAAATAGGGAAAACCATTAATTTACCCTAAAAAAATCTCTTTACATATATAACTACAAATAACAGTTAAACCATTACTCTGCTATAAAAAAGAAAATGATCAGCCATTGCCGCCAGTATAGAGCCAAGCCAGACTGTACTTCCATGCATTCTTAACCAGGCTATATACTGCTGGCTGACTAATGTTATATTTTCATCTTGATACCCCCAAAATTGATAATGGACAGTTCCAAAATTGTAAGCTGGACCAGGCCATTTCAGCAGGTTAAGGGTTTAAGACAGATGTAAACATATGATTTTGTTGATCTATAACCTCATTACTGCTTAGAAAGCAAGTTTAAACTAACCAGCAAGATAAATACATGAAAATAAATGTTTTAAGACAGATTACGATGATCACAATTTGTTTTGTATTCGTAAATTTAGAGGGTTAACTATTAGATAACAAGAGGGCCATGATGGCCCTGAGGTCGCTCACATGTATATAGGCCCCCGAAGCGGGGCCAGTTTAAACCCCAGGGCTTTTATTTGAACAAACTTGGAATTAAGACACCCATTAGAAGATGTTTCATGATGTTAAGTTTTTGCTATACACATATAAGGAAAAACAATGACCTTCTCCCCCCCCCCCCCACCCCCCCAGAGTTAATTTTAACCCAAGGGCTTTTATTTGAACAAACTTGGTAGACACCCATAAGAAGATGTTCATGATTAACATCTAAGCTCTAGCTCATTGGGTTTTTTAAAAGAAGATTTTTTAAGTTTTTACTATACACATATAGTTAAAAACAATGACACCCCTGGGGCGGGGCCAGTTTTGACCCAAGGGCTTTTATTTGAACAAACTTTGTAGACACTTATTAGAAGATGTTTCATGCTTAATATCTAACTCTAGCTATTTGGGTTTTTTCAAAGAAGATTTTTTAAGTTTTTGCTATACACATATAAGGAAGTCAATGACCCCCGGGACGGAGCCAATTTTGACCCCAGGGCTTTAATTTGAACAAACTTTGTAGACACTCACTAGAAGATGTTTCATGCTTAATATCTAAACTGTAGCAATTTGGGATTTTTTCAAAGAGGTTTTTTAATTTTTTGCTATACACATATAAGGAAAATCAATGACCCCCGGGGCAGGGCCAATTTTGACCCCAGCGCTTTTATTTGAACAAACTAAGTAGACACCCATTAGAACATGTTTCATGCTAAATATCTTAGCTCTAGCTCTTTGAGTTCTTTAAAAGAAGATTTTTCAAGTTTTTACTATATGCATATAGGGAATATCAATGACCCCCTTGGTGCCGGGCCAATTTTGACCCCAGGGCTTTTATTTGAACAAACTTGGTAGACACTCACTAGAAGATGTTTCATGCTAAATATCTTAGCTCTAGCTCTTTGGGTTCTTTAAAAGAAAATTTTTTAAGTTTTTACTATATGCATATAGGGAAAATGGATGACCCCCTGGGGTGGGGCCAATTTTGACCCCAGGGCTTTTATTTGAACAAACTTGGTAGACACTCATTAGAAAATGTTTCATGCCAAATATCTAAGCTCTAGCTCTTTGGGTTCTTTAAAAGAAGATTTTTAAGTTTTTACTATATGCATATAGGGAAAATCAATGACCCCCTGGGGCGGGACCAATTTTGACCCCAGGGCTTTTATTTGAACAAACTTGCTAGACACTCATTAGAAGATGTTTCATGCCAAATATCTAAGCTCTAGCTCTTTGGGTTCTTTAAAAGAAGATGTTTAACGTTTTTTCTTTCGGTTGCCATGGCAACCAGAGTTCTGCATGGAATTAAATTCTTTGAACAATATTTAAAGGTGACAACCAAAGGAACATTCCTGTGAAGTTTGGATGAAATTGGCTTAGTGGTTTATGAGGAGATGTCATTTGAAGCAAAAGTTTACGGACGGACGCCGGACGGACGCCGGACGAAAAGCGATCACAAAAGCTCACCCTGTCACTTTGTGACAGGTGAGCTAAAAAGACACAACACCAGCAAAATTTGCCTGACCATCCCAAGATTGATGGGAATTGATTTAATTAAAGGAAAAAGGTGTAGTTAAATAAGTGTGTTGTCAAGTAAAGATTGAAAACATAAAATATAAAGTGTGGACAGCAAAGCATAGTTAAAAGCCAAAATAACAGCTCTGAACCTGAGTAAAATTCAAACTAGCCAAAGCAAGAGTTAAAACCAAGGCTATCAAATCATTGTTTGGCGTTAAAAATGCAATTAGAAATACTATTGCAATAATATGCCCTGTGTAAGCATATAGAAAAGAAATGCAAGAAAATCTAAAGCTTGGAAAAAACTTTTTTATTCATTTGCAAACTTCACACAATATAGCAAAGTGAATTTTTCAATCTTATAAAAAAACAAGCAGTGATCTAGCCCTAAAACTTTCATATTTTGAAGCGGCTAATGCAAAACTGAAAAATTTCATAAATTATGAAAAAAAGAGCACTGCAAAATTGATTAATTTATGCCAGGATGCAGATTTGTTTATGGGCTGAAAACATCATTCAGTTATATGTAGGGAAAAGGCGCACTTGTGAAATTGTTCATATTAAGTTTTATCTTTTTATACTAAAATATGAAGGATATTGTCACAAAAAAAGGGTTCAATGTATTTATCAAACAATATTTTAAACTTAAATAAATATCATTTTCAATAAATTCCTGAATTTAAAGGAAACTAAAATATTTCCCCGAATTGGTATAGAAAAAAAATTAGTGACAATAATCGTAAGATCAAAAATTTGTTCCCTTTCGGGTTTGAACCCATGTCCAAATGATTGTGAAGATACCGGTAGGTCATCTATTTTCTAAATATATTTTCGAATTTATTTTACAGTGACAAATGGCCCCAAAAGCCTGTAAGCATATAGCTATCCAGATATACAGTTACAACTAGTCAAATAATGAGACATTTCCCTTATTCTGAACAACAGTAAGAAAGGAAAAGATGTGTACATTGTAAACTCAAAACTATAACGAAAAACTATAACAAAGAAATGTGAATTCAATTATTTGTCCGCTAGTTCAGAAATAAAAATAAAAAATCTTTTCCACAACAGCATTTGTGTTCAGAATAGCAATAGATTTTGAAACACCATCTAAATACAGAGACAACAGAATTACACAAGTACAAGCTATACCTGGGATACGAGTCATCATCTACCAATCTGAAATTTCGTTGTCATGGAAACATAGCAAATAAAAACAATTGAATACTCCCAGCCGGCAGAGGTCACTTATACACACAAAGAAAACTTTAACGCTGGTGCACATTAACATAGAATTCCTTCAAATTGAATTTATTTATATGATAAAGTTTGCAAAAATTACCTTTATATATAAGCCCTTTTCGCTTTTTTCTAAAAATATATAAAATCTAAGAAACCAAGGTCAGTCGGGAATGAAAATAACATATCCATTCTCTATGGTTAGAAATCTTTCTAAATGTACTTGTGTGAAATAAAAATGAATACATTATTAATTCAAGGCACTTTTTAATATGTTCTCCAAAAGAATTTATCAATTTTAAGACAAGTTTATGTTTAATATATTGTAACATATACATACTGTATTGTAATTTTGGGTTTCTGTTTCATCCAGATATCTCCTGTATCTTCTGCTTCATCAACCACTTCCTAAAATAGTAATTTAACAAATATATCACTTGCTATAATAATAAACAAATATACCACTTCCATACATACTAATAAAATATACCACTTCCTAATGTAATAACAAAATATAGAACTTCCTGATAAGATAACAAAATAAATACCATATCCTAATATTATTAAGATATGTTTTTCTAGTATTTCATAAAAGATGAAAACTCAACCTAAATACAGATAAACCTCCACACATGTTTAGAAGGATCCAATAGGTACATATATCACTAATTAGTTTTAAAATCAGACGATGTGTCTACATTGCAAGTATTTGGTTCTGGTACCTGTCTGATAGTAATATTCCAAATTTTAAAAAGGGCCATAATGCTGTTCAAATCTATGTAAGAGTTATGGACTTTGGACAGTGTCCTTCTCCTATGCCTTCCTTTATGTGTGATCTTTGAACCCATTCCTTTTAGAAGTCTTGTAGATACCAACTTGAGTACAATAGCTCAACCTCTTCTTGGAAAAGTCAAACAAACAAGAGCTGATGGTATGACAGTGTGCTTGACTATACTAATTTCTATGTGAGTACAATAGCTCCCCCTATTCTTCAAATAGATAAGTTAAAAATTAAAATCAAGTTTTTTTAGTCAAGGTCCCTGTGACCTTGACCTTTGACCCAGTGACCTTAAAATCAATAGGGGTCATCTACTAATCATGACTAACCTCCATGCTAAATATGAAGACTGTGGGTTAAAGGAATCTCAAGTTATTGGGTGACAAGCTTTCTTTTAGTCAAGGCCCCTGTGACCTTGACCTTTGACCCAGTGACCTCAAAATCGATAGGAGTCATCTACTAATCATGACTAACCTCCATGCCAAATATGAATACTGTGGGTCAAAGGAATCTCAAGTTATTGGGCGGACAAGGTTTTTTAAGTCAAGGTCCCTGTGACCTTGACCTTTGACCCAGTGACCTCAAAATCAATAGGGGTCATCTACTAATCATGACTAACCTCTATACCAAACATGAAGACTGTGGGCCAATGGAATCTCAAGTTATTGGGTGGACAAGCTTTTTTTAGTCAAGGCCCCTGTGACCTTGACCTTTGACCAAGTGACTTCAAAATCAATAGGGGTCATCTATTGGTCATGACTTACTACATGCATAATATGAGACTTTGGGTCAAAGGATTCTTAAGTAATTGGGCAGACAAGCTTTTTAAAGTCAAAGCCCCTGTGACCTTGACCTTTGACCCAGTGACCCCAAAATCAATAGGGGTCATCTACTAATCATGACTAGCCTCCTTCCTAATATGAAGACTGTGGGTCAAAAGAATCTCAAGTTATTGGGCTGACAAGGTTTTTTTAGTCAAGGCCCCTGTGACCTTGACCTTTGACCAAGTGACCTCAAAATCAATAGGGGTCATCTACTAATCATGACTAACCTCCATGCCAAATATGAAGACTGTGGGCCAATGGAATCTCAAGTTATTGGGCAGACAAGCTTTTTAAAGTCAAAGCCCCTGTGACCTTGACCTTTGACCCAGTGACCCCAAAATCAATAGGGGTCATCTACTAATCATGACTAACCTCCTTCCTAATATGAAGACTGTGGGGTCAAAGAATCTCAAGTTATTGGGCTGACAAGTTTTTTTAGTCAAGGCCCCTGTGACCTTGACCTTTGACCAAGTGACCTCAAATCAATAGGGGTCATCTACTAATCATGACTAACCTCCATGCCAAATATTGAAGACTGTGGGCCAATGGAATCTCAAGTTATTGGGCAGACAAGCTTTTTAAAGTCAAAGCCCCTGTGACCTTGACCTTTGACCCAGTGACCCCAAAATCAATAGGGGTCATCTACTAATCATGACTAACCTCCATGCCAAATATGAAGACTGTGGGCCAAAGGAATCTCAAGTTATTGGGCGGACAAGGAAAAACCGACGGACAGACAGGGAGACGTCCGGACAAGCTGATTCCAGTATACCCCCCTTACAACTTCGTTGTGCGGGGGTTTAATAAAGTTTACCTGTAAAGCTGAAGGTTGAACATCTGACAGTAGATGGAAGAATTTACAACAGAAATCCTGCTCTGCTAAACATACAGGTTCAAACTCACTCAATACCTTGTCAAACACCTGTAATTACATCATTCAAACATTAAATGCTAAATCTTCATAAAGAAAACTAGTCCTTCAATTTTCACTCAATAGCTACCATGACCTGTGATAATTAAGTACATAGGGTTGTAATATTTTACTTCATTTAATGTGAAGAAATCTTCAAATGAACTAAAAGTATTCTCTTTTATCAGTTTTAGTTAAGTAGCAACTATTAAGGTAGATTTATTCTGATTTACATCTTTGTTATATTTATCTTTCTCTTTTACAGAACACTTTGTCTAAATAGGAAAGTTTTGTTATAAATATTTCTGACAAGTTATATGACCGTACATATTGTTTGGAAATAAAACCCCAGCCACTAGGCCATATAACCTGCCAGGAATATTTATAAATAATATATATGTGAGCTAGTCTAAAATATAAGAGAGAACTTCAAAATGAAGTTTTTTCCAAGTTCACTTATAGAAAATAACTGTATCAATTCATAATTTGAAATATTACTTCAATTCAAGTACTTCATACTTTCACTGAATAATGATCAGTTACCCTTCTAACAGGGACCTGGGTGGTGTTTTGTCTTACTTTCATTATTTGTATGTCTCCCTTTATTCTCCTGCACATTCTACAATAATTACCTGGTCAAACAAATATCTCATGGTCATGTCAGCATCTGATCCCTGTATTACTGACATGGAGTCTACACTGTGTACAGAGCCCGCTCGTTTCTTACTGTCCAATGGTGATCCTATACTAGCAGATGATCCCGATAATTTAGCTCCACTCACATCTGGAAAAAACAAATTATTATCAATATGAAAACTCCATCAATCAAAAAGGTTGATGTTAAGAGTCCAACATGGGATAGAACAAGTGTAAACAATATTTTTTTTAAAATCTATTTTTCTTTTACCATAGAAACATTGTATATCATTCAATATGGAAAATTTCGATGTTTATAGGAGGATGACACCATGTACCTTTAAAAGTAAAATACAGCGACTGTATAGAATCACTTAATTTTCATAACCTACTTATATAAATTTCTCAACTATGAGAAGTTATTATCCCATGTAAGACACATGAAACTTCTGACATTCACAAACAAGACGGCCATGATGGCCCTGAGGTCGCTCACCTGTATATAGCCCCCCCCCCCACCCCCAGGGCCAATTTTTACCCAAGGGCTTTTATTTGTTTATTTGAACAGACTTGGTAGACACCCATAAGAAGATGTTTCAAGCTAAACATCTAAGTTCTAGCTCATTGGGTTTTTTAAAAGAAGATTTTTTAAGTTTTACTATACACATACAGTTTAAAAACAATGACACCCTTGGGCAGGGCCAGTTTTGACCCCCGGGCTTTTATTTGAACAAACTTTGTAGAAATTTACTAAAAGATGTTTCATGCTTAATATCTAAACTCTAGCTATATGGTTTTTTCAAAGAAGATTTTTAAGTTTTTGCTATACACAAAAAAGGAAAATCAATGACCCCGGGGCAGGGCCAATTTTGACCCCAGGGCTTTTATTTGAACAAACTTTGTAGACACTGATTAGAAGATGTTCATGCTTAATATCTAAACTCTAACTATATGGGTTTTTTCAAAGAAGATTTTTAAGTTTTTTGCTATACACATATAAAGAAATCAAATGACCCCCGGGGCGGGGCCAATTTTGACCCAAGGGCTTTTATTTGAACAAATTTGGTAAAGACAAACCCATTAGAACATGTTTCATGCTAAATATCTTAGCTCTAGCTCTTTGGGTTCTTTAAAAGAAGATTTTTTAAGTTTTTACTATATGCATATAGGGAAAATCAATGACCCCCTGGGGCGGGGCCAATATTGACCCCAGGGCTTTTATTTGAACAAACTTGGTAGACACTCACTAGAAGATGTTTAATGCCAAATATCTTAGCTCTAGCTCTTTGGGTTCTTTAAAAGAAGATTTTTTTATGTTTTTACTATATGCATATAGGGAAAATCAATGACCCCCTGGGGCGGGGCCAATTTTGACCCCAGAGCTTTTATTTGAACAAACTCGGTAGACACTCACTAGAAGATGTTTAATGCCAAATATCTTAGCTCTAGCTCTTTGGGTTCTTTAAAAGAAGATTTTTTAAGTTTTTACTATATGCATATAGGGAAAATATATGACCCCCTGGGGTGGGGCCAATTTTGACCCCAGGGCTTTTATTTGAACAAACTTGGTAGACTCTCACTAGAAGATGTTTCATGCCAAATATCTTAGCTCTAGCTCTTTGGGTTCTTTAAAAGAAGATTTTTTAAGTTTTTACTATATGCATATAGGGAAAATCAATGACCCCCTGGGGCGGGGCCAATTTTGACCCCAGGGCTTTTATTTGAACAAACTTGGTAGACACTCACTAGAAGATGTTTCATGCCAAATATCTAAGCTCTAGCTCTTAGGGTTGTTTAAAAGAAGATATTTAAAGATTTTTCTTTCGGTTGCCATGGCAACCAGAGTTCTGCATGGAATTAAATTCTTGAACAATTTTAAAGGTGACCACCAAAGGAACATTCCTGTGAAGTTTGATGAAATTGCTCAGTGGTTTATGAGGAGATGTTATTTAAAGCAAAAGTTTACGGACGGACGGACGGACGGACGAAAAGCGATCACAAAAGCTCACCCTGTCACTTTGTGACAGGTGAGCTAAAAAACAGTATGATGTCAGACATACTAACCACTTAACTTCCCTCTAGAAAATGTAATGAATTATTAATTAGACTCACTCAGTTTAGCTTTATCTCCTTTACCCATTATAGTTTGTCTGGCACATTCTAGAAACTCTTGTATTTCCTTACTGTATAGCTTTGACAAATTTGTAGCATATACCTGTAAATATAATGTGCAATTTGAACAAGTCTGTGGCATATACCTTCTGTATGTATATAATTTACAATTTGAACAAATCTGTGGCATGAGAAATGGACAAATGAAATAACTTGAATTCAACAAGCTATTTTGGTCTAATATAGGTATTCTAATTCTAAGTCAGCAGACACCTTTTAACACATTTACAGCAGATACCATACTATTTAACTTTTTAATTATCCTTTTCAAAAAAAAAAATGATCCTGTTAATTTTTCAAAACAAAAATCTCTGAAATCAGAACCCTACCTTGGCTAATTCTTTAAAGCTGTTATGATCTGCTTGTTTAAGCCATGCCATAAGTTCAGTGTATGGGGTAAGATCTCGATGACTAGAATGATGTTGGGGTAACTTCAGCTCTGATGAATGTCTACTCAATGTCTCACCTAACTCGTTCCCCTATAAAATAAACCACAATCTTACTTTACCCTTTATGCTGCTGAAAGTTAGCAATGCACATACCCTGCTTTGACATATAAACAGTCTATCAGTGGTTTAGGTAATTTAAATGTCTTAATTACTACAAATAAGTGGCCGACAATATTATCCACCTGGCAGACTGGCCTGGCTTTTAACTGCTAATATTGGTTAGTAATAACAAAAATTGGTACAAGAATCCTGAGTTGCCAGGGGCCATGGATTCTCTCATGTAAGGAAGCTATCCAGCTGGCTTACAAAACATTGGTGGTTCCTCTCAGGTGCCCTGTTTGTGCCTGTAATAATGTAGACATGGGCACCTGAGATCTTCCTCCAACGATTATGCTGGAATGTCACTATATGACCATCACAGAGTCAATGTGACTAAAAACCTATCAGCAACAAAACAACAACATTCAAAACATTGAACTACATATTTGTGATTAATTTTTGCTTATAAAATTTTGTTTCCATTATCATATAATATCATAGTTGATAATATTAATTGTATAAATATCCTACTATAAGACATTAACAAGAGGGCCATGATGGCCCTAAGGTCGCTCACCTGTATAAAGGCACCCGGAGCGGGGCCAGTTTAAACCCCAGGGCTTTTATTTGAACAAACTTGGAAGACACCCATTAGAAGATGTTTCACAATGTTAAGTTTTTACTACACACATATAATGAAAAACAACGATCTACCCCCCTCCTTTCGCCCCCGCCTTCACACACCCCCCCCCCCCGGCAGGCCAATTTTAACCCAAGGGCTTTTATTTGAACAAACTTGGTAGACACCCATTAGAAGATGTTTCATGCTAAACATCTAAACTCTAGCTATTTGGGTTTTTTCAAAGAAGATTTTTAAGTTTTTGCTATACAAATATAAGGAAAATCAATAACACCCGGGGCGGGGCCAATTTTGACTCCAGGGCTTTTATTTGAACAAACTTTGTAGACATTCACTAGGAGATGTTTCATGCTTAATATCTAAACTCCAGCTATTTGAGTTTTTTCAAAGAAGATTTTTTAAGTTTTTGCTATATACATATAAGGAAAATCAATGACCCCCGGGGCGGAGCCAATTTTGACCCCAGGGCTTTTATTTGAACAAACTTGGTAGACACTCACTAGAAGATGTTTCATGCCAAATATCTAAGCTCTAGCTCTTAGGGATTTTTAAAAGAAGATATTTAAAGTTTTTTCTTTCGGTTGCCATGGCAACCAGAGTTCTGCATGGAATTAAATTCTTTGAACAGTTTTTAAAGGTGACCACCAAAGGAACATTCCTGAGAAGTTTTGATGAAATTGGCTTAGTGGTTTATGAGGAGATGTCATTTAAAGTAAAAGTTTACGGACAGACGGACGCCGGACGAAAAGCGATCACAAAAGCTCACTTTGTCACTTTGTGACAGGTGAGCTAAGAATTTCTAAAAAATATTGTTATTCCATTTTAAGCAACCTTTATTTAATTTACCAAATAAAACTGATGTGGAAGTTTATATAGATAGTGTTAATAAAATGGTAAAATCAAATCCCAAACTTTTAGCTTACATGTCAAATTTAAATATAATAATTCAAACATAGATTTATTAAACTATATTTTTAGTTTAATAGAGGATATTGAATGAGTGTAGGTTTAATACTAAATTTATTGAACGAGTTGAATAAAATCATATTATGCGAGCCTCTGGCGAGCATAATATTGTTTTATTCAACGAGTTCAATAAATTTAGTATTGAATCTAAACGAATATAATATTCTTTTTATCACATATATAAAATAAGAACGGTAAACTGTTAACAAGAGTCACTTTTATTTGATGCGCCTATAGTGGTAACGCTAACACTAGCGCGCTTTAACGCTATGTTTATAGCGCAAATGACGTGACGTCAAAGTGTTATTACACTAGTGTAATATCGTCTAGTGTAATATCGTTTTTATTAAATGGCTTTATTACACTCCTGCACCGCGGTTTATGTGATAAAATGTATTATCATATAACAAGAGGGCCATGATGGCCCTAGATCGCTCACCTGATTTATCAAACTCATCCAAACAATTACCTAGACAAGCATTCTGACCAAGTCTCATGACAGGTGAGTCAAAAATGTGACCACTACAGTGTTAACAAGGATTATCCATATTTGAGCAGTGCGACCTAGTTTTTTACCCAGGTGACACATATTCAAACTTGACCTAGAAATCATCAAAACAAACTTTTAGACCAATATCAAGGATACTTGGATCAAAACAGTAGCAACTAGTGTTAACAAGATTTTTCTATTTTTAGCTCCGGTGACCTAGTTCCACATGCGATTTCGAACTCATCCAAGCAATTACCTATACAAGCATCCTGACCAAGTTTGATGATAATTGAGTCGAAAATGTGACCACTAGAATGTTAACAAGGTTTTTCCATATTTGGGCGGTGTGACCTAGTTTTTTTCATCCAAGATGACCAATGTTCGAACTTGACTTAGAAATCATCAAAACAAACTTTCAGACCAATTAACAGAATATTTGGATCACAACAGTAGCCACTAGAGTGTTAACAAGATTTTTCTATTTTTAGCTCCGGTGACCTACTTTTTCATCAGAGATAACCCATGTTCAATTTCTTCCCAGCAATGACCTAGACAAGTTTCCTGACCAAGTTTGATGACAATTGAGTCAAAATTGTGACCACTAGTGTTAACAAGGTTTTTCTATTTTTAGCTCCTGTGACCTAGTTTTTCATCCGAGATGACCCATGTTGGAACTCATTTGAGCTATCACCTAGACAAGCATTTTGATCAAGTTTGATGATGATTGATGCAAAAATGTGACCACTAGAGTGTTAACAAGGTTTTTCTATTTTTAGCTCCGGTGACCTACTTTTTCATCCGAGATGACCCATGTTCACACTCATCTGAGCTATCAACTAGATAAGCATCCTGACCAAGTTTGATGATGATTGATGCAAAAATGTGACCGCTAGAGTGTTAACAAGGTTTTTCTATTTTTAGCTCCGGTGACCTACTTTTTCATCCGAGATGACCCATGTTCAAACTCATCCGAGCTATCACCTAGACAAGCATCCTGACCAAGTTTGATGATGATTGATGCAAAAATGTGACCGCTAGAGTGTTAACAAGATTTTTCTATTTTTAGCTCCGGTGACCTACTTTTTCATCCGAGATGACCCATGTTCGAACTCATCCGAGCTATCACCTAGACAAGCATCTTGACCAAGTTTGATGATGATTGATGCAAAAATGTGACCGCTAGAGTATTAACAAGGTTTTTCTATTTTTAGCTCCGGTGACCTACTTTTTCATCCGAGATGACCCATGTTCGAACTCATCCGAGCTATCACCTAGACAAACATCCTGACCAAGTTTGATGATGATTGAGGCAAAAATGTGACCTCTAGAGTGTTAACAAGGTTTTTCTATTTTTAGCTCTTGTGACCTAGTTTCTCATCCGAGATGACCCATGTTCGAACTCATCCGAGCTATCAACTAGATAAGCATCCTGACCAAGTTTGATGATGATTGAGGCAAAAATGTGACCGCTAGAGTGTTAACAACTAAATGTGAACGGACGACGGACGGACGGACGACGGACAATCATCGATCCTAAAAGCTCACCCTGAGCATGCTCAGGTGAGCTAAAAATATAAATGATTTGTTTCTTTTTCAAGTTTTGTAGATTGATGACCCACGGAGGATCTCTGTGCATTATTACAAGCTAAATTAAACACATAAGAATATCAATGACCTTTCTATATACATTTAATATGGATCTCTGACACTGGACAGGGAGACATGTGATTAAATGTCAAAAACTAGAATATAAACAAAAATTCAAATTCTACCTGGTGAATGAACAAATTATTTAGATGATGGATAAGCCTCCTAGAGAAATCTTGTTTCAACTTATTAAACTTTTTCATCTGTTCTTCTACAGCTGCCAATTTAAGGAGAGCATCATGTATACTGGCATGTCGGCATCTCTGTAGTTGTTGTGCTGCCGCGGTACAGTCTAGTATACCGTTGGGCGTGGATAGATCACCTTCTATCAGCGATTTTACATACTTGTCGTCTAAATCTAACTGGTTCTAAAATGTATGTATATGTTGTTTAATATTATATTTGCAATGTTTCAAATTGCTTAAATGCATATCAAAAATTTGTAATGTAGATTTGTGAGTTTTGAAATATTAAACAGTTCAAGAATGTTAAAAGGACTTCACCGAGGTTTCCCCGACATGATGGGACTGAAAATATTTTTTTTTTAAGATAAATGTTTCATTTGATGTAGGTCTAGACCAATAACTTAATGCACAAAATTTCAGATCATTTGTTCACGCTGTTTTTCTAGAATATTTATTGTGAAAACAAAACCTAAACTTGAAAAGCAATATTTTTCACTGAAATATGGCTTATAATAGCACAAAAACACAATTTACAATTCATTTTTTTGGGGTTAATTCATTATTCTTAATTATCTTTTGCGTTATCTTTCTGTTTTAAGTGCTCCAGGTGATCTATGTAAGTAACTCAAATTTTATGTTTTCAGGCTTTTGAGCCTTTTCAACCTATAGTATCTATGATAGAAGTTATATATACTTACAACAAGGCTTTCAATTTCCTCCAACATTTTCTGATGGTTATCATTCCTTACAGATAGTAGAGTATCCTTGTCTTTCATTACTTCCATCTGGTCCTTCACTGACTGTTTAATAACATATGAGCCGCATCACGACAAAACCAACATCGTGCGTTTGCAACCAGCATGGATCCAGACCAGCCTGCACATCCGCGCAGTCTGATCAGGATCCATACTGTTCGCTACTATGTTGGTTTTGTCGTGCTCATATACTAGTTATCATTCACAACACTTGTTGTCATTTGAAAAAATGTTAAAATATTCAATGTGACAAGGATAAACCTCATAGCTTGATTGTCAATCTATTTACAAAATGTTTTCTGAAGTGTTTCCATTTGAGTAACAGCTATATTATAGTATACATTTGGTAACATGGAAAGTATGTGTTGAATGTAAATTTATTTTAAAGACCAAACACAATCCTGCAAGACAGACTTTTAAAACATTTGTTAGAACAATTATTAACCAATGCTACTACAATCAAAGCATTTTACAAATTCATTGTGTGAATTATGACCATCCATTAATGCAGGAAAACCTACAAATGCAGAACCACCAACCACCTGTATGCTAGCATGACATATGTAGCTAGATCATATAAAACAACTCACCGGTTTGGAAATATAAATACAGTGATAGCACAAGTGATCCAAAAACATTTATAAATCTAAACCACCTGACCATGGAGGTCGCACATATTTTAACTATATTAATTGTGACATGTTAACCATCTCAGAAATATAATACTTAGATTAATGGAATAAACAAGAGCGATCAGTGATCACATGTGTCGCCTCATTATGGCCAACTTCATGTTTGGACAAGTTTTGTGACAGACGGACAGTGCACAACTAGACTTGGTACTGATCATTCCTGTAAAGTTTGGATAAAATTGCACCAGGAGTTAATAAGGAGTAGTCCGGACAAGCTTTTGTGTATCTGGCAACACACAGAAAAAAACACCTTTTTATCAAAGGGCCATAACTCGGCCAAAAATCATTCAACCGGAAAACCCGTGCAATATGCGCAAGGACTTGAGCTACAGATCAATCCTGTAAAGTTTCATTGAAATTGCATTAGTGGTATAAGAGAAGTAGTCCAGACAAACTTTAAAAATAAAAATTATTGAAGGGCCATAACTCTGACAAAAATCATTGAACCGGAAAATGCTGACAATATGCACAACTAGACTTGGTACTGATCATTCCTGTAAAGTTTGGATGAAATTGCACCAGTAGTCTATGAGGAGTAGTCCGGACAAGTTTTGTGACGGACGGACAGACAGACGACGGAGAAGTGATCCCTATATGTCGCCACTACTCCATAGAGGCGACACAAAAAAGAAAAAATGTACACAAAAAATAGAAATGATATAAATTGAGATAAATAATTACCTGTAATATTCTATCATAAGAATCAAGTTTACTCTCTATATTTTCTGCCTGTTGTATACCATCATCTAGAAGTCTCATTAAGTTTAATACTTGATCTTCACTTCCCATTATAGAGTGAATGTTTGCCTTAAAATACAACAATAATAATGTACATGTGTAACTGCTAATTAGATGTATAGTGAACATACTATCAAATATGAATCTATAATAAGCATTGACATCATTATGTGCTGGATTTTTCTTTGATAACAGTAGTTATACAATCTAACAAAATTGATAATAAGCTCGTATTTGTTAAATGTCAATCCAATCTGACCTAATCTACTTAAGGTTTTTCTTGCATATAGATCTGATTTCCACCATACCGTTTCACTGACATTGTGATTTGGATTTCCCAAGAAAGCTATTTTTAGCAATGCAATCAAACTCTCCTTTACAGATAGTCATTAGACCAAGTATCAAATTAACATTGTCCATGGAAGTAAAACAAATTGTTGGAATTTTTGTTAGAAAAAAAATGTTTGAAGTAATTTGAAACCAATAAACTGGAAATAATTGACTTGATTTTTAATGGGTTAGATTATTTTGCCAGGTTACTTGAAGGCTATATGGACAAAGCCAGGTTTGTTCCCACAAAATCATGAAAATTACCTAGTCAGTATTGGTTTTCTAGCCGTTAAAATTAGAAACCAAATCACTTTCAAAATTATGAAAGCTCACCGATGATTGGCTGTTTGAAAGGATACGAGAAGGTGACAACCTCTTGGTGGATGTCAGATCCTAATGCATAGCATTTATTTTGGGGATTTTAATCGATTAAAGTCGCCCTACAACGTAATA